GTAGCTTTCCAACATTCAAAATCAATTGGATTGTTTATTCTTTTATGTACTTCACACTGCATACAAAACTTAGATAAAGAAAAAACATCAATCACCTTTTTATTTTCATGTGAAAGACCAGCAACAACACCATTTAGGGAAGAATATCCACGACGTTGCCATGTTCCGTCTATTGATATGCCACAGTCAATAATTTCATCTTCAGAAGCATTTGCATTTAAAATTTCTCTTAGTTCTGATACAGCAGCTTTCATACTCTGTAAACTAATTTCCTTATAAACTTTATGTAATTTATTGTTTGTAAGATTATAACTGTGATTCGTAAGAGGTGGAGGCATATTCATTATAGCAGTAAAAGTAGACATAGCTTCATTACCACGTCCAATTTCACGAAATGCCATAACAGCTCGCAAATTTATTTCATATGGGTTTGAACCAGGTTTTGAACTTTGATTTATAGTTGGAGATGAATAAAATGTACTTTCAAAGCCACAGTTTGAACATTGTATTATAATTCCAATAGAAAATCCCATACGTACAGATTTATTATGCAAAAAAGTTAACTTGCTATTACACTCACTGCATGTAGAATACAGTTCAAATATATTTTTAATAACTCTAAAGTTACATATAAAAAAAAAATTGTCGACTTCAGAATCACAATTCGTTGCACCATTAAAGTTATGTTTATTCTTAAGCTTTGATGCACTTGTTGTTTCTGATTTCCTGCTACAATCAACTACATCCTTTTCTTTCCTTGAATATCTATTTCCTTGATATTTTTTCTTTAAACTTCTAACTTTATTTCTTTTGTTTGCCATATTTAGATTTAGATAGCTTTCAGTTAAATTCAGACAGACAGTTTTAGTTAAAATACATCAGAATAATGAAACAAAGCACATTTTTTAAAAACGATATACTTTGCAGAACAGTAGAAAAGCATAATAGATCTAACACAGAGAAATACTTCAAAATTTCTAGTGAAAATCTTTAAGAAGTAGTTAATGAAATTGTTGTTTACACCGTTGCTATGGCGTTGCTATGGAATAGGAAAGTGCATTGACCACAATAACTGTACTTTTTGTTACTTTTAAAGCACATAGTAGTAAAAATTGATTATGGATTTTGTTCTTCAATGTTTGAAATAGCATAAAACACAAAAAAAAAAAAATTTTTTTTTTTGATTTTTAATAGGGGTGAGCCACCTTAACTCCTCTGTAAACATCAAATTTTGCAATCAATTTTTTAGTCACTTACTGATGATAGATTTTCTTCAAATTTTGCATACATACTCTTGCTTGATGACAATACATTATTCAATATTTAGTTTTGAAATAAGATGACTTCGTATCTTTAGGATTTTTTTCAGTCGGTTTACATCAAAATATTTTATATAAAATTATAAAACTTCCTTAATTTGGACATTATTATAGATTAAAAGAGTTAGAACTTTTACAAAGTGTTTAAATCCATAAATTATCTAAAAAACGTTCTTTTTTTTCGCCTAAAGAATAAATTTCGTTCACTTTATAAGTAAAAGTAAACAAAAAAATTATATACTGGTATTAGTAGTAGCTCTTTTTCTTCTATTTCTTTGAGGAATATTTTATTGATTAAATGTCTTTGCAATAGTTAAATTAATTATAATCCTCGCCTAAAAATAACACTCAAGAACTTGAGATTTCACAGGTCTAGAAATTAAAGTTAAAATTAGGAATCCGTGATTTACCGCAATTAGAGTACTATTTATTTTATTTTTATTTGTTTATTTCTTCATTTAAAATAAGCTTTACAATATTTTTAAAACATAAAAACATAACGCGTAAAAATTTCAACCAGAATAACAAATTAAAATAAATAAATAAATTCTTGATTGGCATTTTTCATTTTAAACAAATTTTAAAAGATTGCAAGTGGTCGACAGTAGTGTTTTACCTTTGAATAGTTAAGTCGTTTATCTTGCAGGCCAGATGGAAATATCTTGATTGTATAAACTAATAAAGGGCTAACGTCAATTTGTCGAACAGCAATTTAACTACTTAACTACTATAAGTAAGAATAAATCTGCTGCGAAAATTATTTTTTCATAACTGAATAAGTTCTTTACTTAACCTGAACTCTATTCTTGAACTCTTTTACTGATCTCTAATATCCAGAAACTATGCCATTGTTAGACATTAAATTTTTATAATTTAATACAAAGTAAAAAGATAAAAATAGCACTTTCAAAAAATAAAATTCCCCTTTTTCAAAATTAAAAAAAATTTGAAATTTGCAATATTCGGTTGGAATACAAGAGAGCAAAGTTACATTTTCAAACAAACTGTTGAAAGAAGAAAAATGGAGGTTGTGCACTATTTTACCATGACCTTTGTAAAAACTGTTTTGCTTTTTTTTGCTGCTTTTTTTTAAGTTATATTGATATATTTCGTTATTTTTTGTTAAGTTTATTGTTTAGTACTGTAATTTCTTGACGTCAAACTTTGTTTCATTCAGTTTTTATCCTAAATTGTAATTAAAAATGGTAACACTATAACTTATAAAAACGTTTCCTTTTATCCAATTAATTGTCCAAATGTAATCATTATAATAATTTGTATTTCCCATTATAATATAAGTTATTTAAAAACAGCACTTATATTTGCTCGGACCCTTGGACTATGTTTTGTTACCAATAGCAAATGTTTCATTTTTAGGAGTTGTCCAAATGGTTAACTGAGTCAAATGTCTATTTTTTTTTTTTTTTTTTTTTGATTTTAATTGAAATGTTTTGATTGTTAAAACAAGAAACATTCGTTTCCTTTACCAATAATATACCACCAAGTCTGTTGCATTTTCTTGAAAATTTATAATGATCGTTTTTTTAATGCTTATTTTATTATGTTTGAAAGAGTTGATAATAGTTTGATTAAAATAAAGTATTTGCCACAATTATTATATTAAAGCTTGGTATGTGCTTTCATGGCCGTGTAAAACGTTATATTTTAGTTGAATAATTGGTTTATTATATTTCATTAGAGCGCGGAATAATACAATAGACATGCAGACAATTTTTAATACAATGTTAATTAGGTGGTGGATTGATCCATGTAAAGACTGTGAGCATGTAAAGGCTGCAATATTTGGTACTCCTGTTATTGTTTAATAAATCTGTAATAAATAGAGCAGCCGTAGCGCAGTGGTAAGAGTTCTGGCTCAGAAACCAGAGATCCGAAGTTCGACGCCGGCTCTAGCCCAATAAGCGACATTGGTAAGGAAGGAGGCGTGAACCTCTAGTTAAATGCACTCCCGCGGTGCTCCGTGATAAGACCGTAAGGACTTCTGGGAGCACCTAAATAACCTAAAAAAAAAAAAGTGCAAAGACCATTTAACTGCATGAAAGTTATATGGTCATTGCGCAAAGCAGGGCGGATCCAGCATTTTTTGGTCTTTGAGATAATTTACAGACATGGGGAAAACTCCAAACATTTATATGTTTATACTTGTGTCAAATAAGGATTCTTTGGAAAAAATTGCGCTGATTGAGAACAATATATACACAAAATTTTTACCACCTGTCCCAAACGTGAGAGCAACAAGTAGTTAAAATATATTTCATCACTTTTCTCAACTAGATATATATTCATCGATAAATTATAAGTTGCATAGTATAATCTCTCATTGTTCAAAAATTATGACCATATAAAATTTGTAACCTTCTCAAATTTAGGGGGTTCAAACTTTAAAAAAATGCTGGATCCATCCACGAAAGGCTCTTTAATGAGGTATCTATACTATATAAGTGCGTATGAACTAAGAGCATATAAAAAAATAATGTTGAAAAATTAAAAGATTAAAGACTAAAATTCTAAAAATTTATTCGTGATGTAGTTTATTGTTAAGGAATGAAAATCCTCAATTTTTAAATATTTTCAGTGGCGTAACTAGGGGGGAGCATAACTCCGAAAGGAAGGGGGGGGGGCACTGGCTTAGAGGGCCCCGCGGAGATTTACAAATTTTACTCATATGAACAATATGACTGGTAATAATAATATGAGTGTTACTAATTTCTGTTTTATCAAATACATTTTATGATTTTATAATTTTTTCACGTATTCCTTCGGAAATTTTTGGAGTAAAAATTGAGAAAAAATATCAGGAGATATTTTTTCTCCTAGCCTTTCTAGCCCCTTTCATTTTTTGGCGGAGGAGGGGGGGGGAGCAAATAGTTACGTCACTGAATATTTTATTACTTTTTTAAAAATTCTGATTGAAGATATTAGCTTAATTTAAAATAAAAAAAAAATATTTAATTTATTAGATTTTGATCCATCTAATTGTATTAAAAAAAGAAAGTAACCTTGAAGCAGTTGATATCAACTAAATAAAAAGTAAAAATTTTAATTGAAATTTTCACTTTTATTTTCTGCTTAGTGCGCGTGCGCTAGATATCCCCAGTAAAATGTAAACACAGAAAGCATCCTTCACAACGTTTGATAACAATTGAACCTGTCATTTTCGAAAAGGGAACAAGTCCATTTATTAAAATTTTTCGAAATCAACAAAAACATGATTTTTAATAAAATAATGTCTTTGCAGCTAAAGAAATTAAATATAAAAGTAAATAAATAAAGAACGTATATAACTTATGCTACTTTTATTTTTTATAAAAAAAAACATAAATCACACAGAAATTTAAATTTATAAACTAACTGTTAAAATTTTTGGACTTGTGTCCTTTTCGAAATGACAGGTTCAATTATGAACGTAAACGTTTAATGTTTTTTTGATTATCATTTCTATTAAATAAATAATACGTATATAGTAATCGAATGTGTTTATATATATATATATATATATATATATATATATATATATATATATATATATATATATATATATATATATATATATATATATATATATATATATATATATATATATATATATATATATATATATATATATATATATATATATATATATATATATATATATATATATATATACATATATATATGCTATTTGTATTTTACAGCTTACATGGTTTTGTTTTATTCATTTTATTAACAACTGCTTTTGATTAGCTATGAAACTTAGAAGATTTTTACTTCGTTATTATCCTCCAGGTAATACACATATAGTCAGTGGCATTGATAGCAAATTACTTGATGCGTTCAATTATGCCCATAATTTAATAATAAAATAACTTAAATTAATAAAAATAATTTAAATTAAAATTTAAGAAAAAGTTATAAATTTTTTTAATAGTTAGTTCTAATACTAATTGAAAATTAGTATTAGAACTAACTATTAAAATTTGTATTAATCTTCTTATCTAGGCTTTAATTTATATAATAGAATAGAAAAGATGTGTGTGTACTGCAAAATACTTTATGTGTACTCAATACACCTCAAGTGTGCTCAACACACCTCAAGTGTGTGTTCAACACACCTCAAATGTGTGTATAGTTGTGTTTTAATTATTCAAAATAAGACTATCAATAACAAAAATAAAGTTTAACAATTAAAATTGTTGATAATTATATCGATACAGTTTTTAAAAAGGTTTATATTTTCTTTATATATTTCTTTATCATGTTTTTTTGTGGAAGACAAATAGAATCATTTGTAATTCTGTGAAGAAATAGTGACAAATTCTTAAATCAGTAAGTTGCCTGGATATTCTACAATTGTTATTTCTGCTAGATTTTTCGTGCTCAAATCTTTCTGAAGGGTGGTTAAAATTAACTATTAGTTACCTATTTGGATTTTATACATTCGAATCAGATCACATCTGCTTCATCTCTCTTGCAAATTCAGTTTCTTTTTGATTTGCTAAATTAATGTAATAGTTTCAATTTAGATTTTTTAAAATTATCTTTATTAAGATCTTTTTGTATAGTTGCTGTTTTAGGATTAATTCTTCTGAACTTTCTTGGAAACAATATATCAAATTCATTGCAAAATTAGCATCTGCTAAGGTTGCTCTTTATTGTGCTCGCTGCTTTCTTACTCCAGATTCTATTCTTTATATCTATAAATCTCAAATCCATCCTTGTATGGAATACTGTTTAGATAGATTTACAGTTCCAGACACTGCTGTATCTGGAGCAGATCTTTGAATGATATCTTTTCTCTTTTAGACAAGGTGCAAAAACACATTGTAGTTATAGTTGGACCTGCTCTTATAGCCAATCTTCAACCATTGTCACATTGTCATAATGTTGCTACTATTTCTCTCTGCTATAAAAACTATAATGGGCACTGCTCTAAAGAGCAAGCCTCTCTTGAAGTATCTAATAAAATTCATTCACATGTTACTCGTCATTCAATCTTTTAAGCCATCTGTTAATCGTTATCTTGCTTTATAAACTTTATCTTTTCTCTTCCAGTAACTTCCAACTCTAATAGTGGTTGGCTGCAGTCTTGTTGGAAGTGAAGATGTTAAATATATATGTTATCTAACTTCATACTAAAGTTGAATGTAAGCACAAAATTTGAACAAGTTTGTTAAGGACAATTCAACTTTAGGTGTGTGACTGTTAAGTTACTTATATACTGTATATAATTTCTTAATAAGTTAAGCATTTTATTTTATTCGTTTTTATCATTGTTTAAACGATTATTTTAAATTATAAAATTTTTGTTTTATCTTTATTATAAATAATTTATTTTTATAGGTATCATTCTCGAATATGAGCAGTCTAAATGTATGAAGACTAAATCAATAGACTTACTTGATCTAAAGGCTGAGTAAGTTTTATCATCTTCCTAATTATACTTACTATAAGAATAAAATTAATAATCAAAGGGCAGTAAAAATGGTAGACATTTCATGTATGAAAGTAATATGACCATGTCATGACAATATCATGTTATGACATAGTTATGATCAAATAAATTGCTTGCAAAAGAGTCTTAAGAGAAAGTTTTACCCAATAAATAAATTTTAGTTAGAGATTTAACAGTTATGCAACCTTATGACAATAGGAGAGAAGTCCAACTACGTTTACAATGCCTTTTTGCTTGGCCAGGAAAGCATGCGATTTCAAGTCTTTATATGAGCACGCAAATAATATTTTGTTTTGACAATTTAACCATGGTTTTTAAATGTTGAAGTTATTTATTTTCAATGTAATTAAAAACCAGTTTTTTTTTGAAAAAACTGGTTTTTAATTACATTGAAAATAAATAACTTCAACATGTTTACTAAAGTTTTTATATTAGCAAAATGCTTTTAAATAAAGTAGCTAATAATTTTAGTTAAAGTATCATTGGAAGTTGCATAACTTAATTATATAAGATTTTTTTATATGTAAAAATGAAAACAAAAAAGTTATAAAAAAAAGTTAAATTTTATAAGGGACAACTTTAAACAGCAACGGTCTCTTATATAAACTTTATATGATAATCATTAAAGTTAATCACTCGAAAAGTAGAAAGATTTTGTTAAAAAAAAAAAAAATTTTTTTTGAAATTAAATAACTTTGATCTTTGCTTATGTTTTGACATTATTAAAACACATTTAAATAAAGTAACAAATCACTGCTAATGGTTTTTTATAAAATTATTAAGAAGGAATAAATATATATGTTTTTATATTTATTTAAGTATGTATTTTTTATAATAAATGTCTTTAAATAAAAAAGTTTTATTATAAAGTTATTATCTTTTTTAAATAAATGATTTAATTATTTTTTCTTTTGTTTTATTTAAAAATTTATTTTATTTTAATTTTATTTTTTCTTTTGTTTACATTACTGCAAAGAATTTTTATTCTTTTTTTTTTTAACTTTTAAATTGAGCATTTATTAAACAGTTGTTAGATGTAAGTTGTTACTTTATTTAAAAAGGATTTCGCATAATATTATATTATAAAAACATTAATAAAGATAAATAATTCAAAGTTATTTATTTCATAATTTTAATAATGTTATTGTTATAGTTTATTATTTATTTTAGAAGATTTATTTGCTTCTAAGTTTATAAGTTTTTTTTAAATTTTCTTTAAGGTTAAGATGCATTTTCAGTGCATTTTTCAACTGTATACAAATTTTCAAGACATATTAACAGCTGTGGTCAAGTTTTTAAAGTGAAATAGTATTTGTATGGTCATATTATGACGTGTAATCACATAAAAAAGTAATGCTAATAGAATATTTTTTTGTACATTATAGGTCTGATGTTGATGCAATTGTTGATGAGCTTGTCAATCGAGAACCACTTATTACTATATCTAAAATGGAGCAAGTTAGAAATCTTATATTAAGTATCTTTTCATTGTTTCTTAAAATATATTACTTGATTTAACTGTTTACCTGCATCAATGTTTAACTATTTGTTTTTTTAACAGATGTTGTGTGAACCAGTAGCTCTTTTTAACAGATGTTGTGTGAACCAATAGCTCTTTTTAAAAAGCAAGCCTAAGTTCTATCAAAATTATTTGAATGAAGTCTGAATAAAAATAAGTAACGTAATAAAGTTGGTTGCAACCTCCAGCTATTTCAAATTTTCTTCTTGAACTGCTTTAAAATCATCAGCGAGATGACTTTTTTTAGTTTTAGAGTAATCTGCAGAATCAACATGTTGAGGATATCATCTGTAGAATTAACAAGTTGAGGGTATCATCTGTAGAATCAACAAGTTGAGGGTATCATCTGTAGAATCAACAAGTTGAGGATATCATCTGTAGAATTAACAACTTGAGGGTATCATCTGTAGAATCAACAAGTTGAGGGTATCATCTGTAGAATCAACAAGTTGAGGGTGTCAGCAGTAAACTTATCTTTATGATTAGCTCTGTGTTGTTTTAGTTAAAAAGTTGAACAATTCTCTAAAACTTACAGAAATACTAATTATTTTATTGTAAAGAGTTATGGTGTAGAACTCTCTTGTCTGTTTAAATTTTTTTTTGAAGATTCACCATATCTTCAATGTCTATTATGTTCTTTCAATATTGTTTTAAATAGTTGAGTTAAGTTTAAGTAAAAAAATGTAAAAGTAAAAGTATTATCTAGAAATAAAAACTTAATTATCCGTAAATATTATTTTTACAATAGTTTTAATTAACTAAGTGATTAAAAAGAAGTAAGTTTTAAACTTAAATACTTAAAACATGTTAAAACAAAACTTTAATTTCTAATAATATCTTAACCTCATCAGTAAACTGATTAAAAACTAAAAAACTAATAAAAAAAATTTCAAGGATGGAAAATACTTTCACAGCAAACACACAAAGAATAACACACAAACCACACAAACACATACACACACAAATAAGTCAATAAAATTAGAAAAGAAAGTTAATAATATGTGTATATTACTAATAATGAAAATACAAAAGTTATAAAAATAAAGCAATCAAATAAAAAAGGGGTAAAAGTGTGTCATCAGTTAACTTGAATGTAAAATAATTATGATGAATGTGCTTCAGAATGGAAAACAGTTGCTTGACACTTATTTGAAAAATGAGAGATGACAAATCTACTTGGCTGGCATCTATTAATATGTCTAGAAAATGTTCTTTAGCTTTTAATAGGTCAATTTTTGTTCTTCAAAAATCTACCTAAGAGTAAATGAATAAAGTTTATCAAGAAATATATTTTAACATTTATTTATATTTGTCACTTTTTACCAATATTTTTTTCCCTTTTATTTCTGGAATATTAAATTAAATTTTTAATACTAAATTGCTTTTAATATGATTTAACAAATTTAAAACAAATCTTTTGTATTGAGTTAAGAAAAGTTTTTTTATGGTAATAAAATTTAAGTGTAAAAAGTTATATTATTTTATTGGTATTAAAAGATGTATTTCTATATTTAAAGTTGTAAAAAAATGTTGATGCAAGTATCTACAATGTTTAGTTTATATTTAGTAGTTTCTTTAACTTTTTAACATCAGAACTGCAAGAAAAGATATCTACCAATGTTTCACAGAGATACTATTTGTTTAAGGTATTTCTTGTTTAATTAGTTTTAAATATTGTTTTTATTGTCATAATCCTTTTCATTGTTATCACCATCCTCCTCCTCCTCATCATTTTAATCATCATCATCATCATCATCATCATCATCATCTTTATCATTGTCATCATCAGCAGCAGTAGCATCAATTTTATTTTGATACTGATGAATGTTTTTTGTTTTGTTTTACACCATCTTGAAATTGATTCACACAAAGAAAACAATATTTTGAACACTTATTTCATCAAACTCTATAAAGTTTTAATTGTTGAAACTTAACTAGGTTTTTTGAAAAAATAAAAAAATAATTTGTTTTTTGTTTTAAAAATATTTTTGCCACATCTTTGAACAACCAGAAAAAAAACGCAGCCTAGACACAATATGCCTAGGCTGCGCTTTTATTCAAAAAGATTTTTAAAACAAAAAATATTTTTATATTGTGACATATATTATTGCTCAACTAATATTTCTCACTGGCCAAAATTTCTGCAATTTTTCTTCCTTAAAAAAATTCTACATTACTAAGTCCTGTTGGTATAGAGGCCCTGGCCATAATTTTCTTCAATTAATGAGTAATTCAGTTTTGTCTAAATTGATATACTATGTATACACCTATGCATGCAGTCTAGAATGTTGTTTGAGGATAACAATAAACATATCATTTCCTTTTGGTTTTGGTAAGGACAAACTTATTAATTTAAAGAGAAGCTTTTTTTATGTTTTAAATCCAGAATTAGGTATTTTTAATAAAACAATTTAAAATTAATTAAAATAACAATAACCTCATAGTAAAATAACATTTTTTTGGTATTTAAATAAAAAAAATTTATTTCAATAATTTTTACTTAAAATTTACTTTAATTGTCAATTTAAATTTTTTTTATTATTTTCAGCATTCCTAAGCTAGGAACAATTAAAATGCACAGGCTAAAAAGCTAGAAACTAGTGCACAGTCATAATATAATTTACTCTAAAAGTTTGGTGATTGACAAGAAAAAATCCAGTTGTATATGCCCATTTCTGCTCTATGGATTCCCAAAATTCACAAGGCGGGAATTCCTCCAAGTCCTATTGTATCTACTTGTGATGGTCTCACAGACTACCTTTAAAATTATGTTACTATACAAATGCGAATCATACAACCATTATCCAAGACTTCCCATTATATTTTCTGTTCCTAGTTTTTTAATAAGTTTTTATGTTTCTATAACAACAAATCTGAAATACCAGATTTTTTCTTAAAACATTCCATCTAACTTTGAAAGAAAAATTTTTTCCACTTAATTTAGAATATTAAATTAAAATATTAATTTAGAATATTAAATATTAAAATTATATTTTATATTTAAACTTTTATTAACATTTTTCTTAATATAAAAATATATTATTATGTTTTATACAATATGTTTACTACAATTACTTAGATATTTACTTATTGACAATTATATATTATTTACTTTATAAGCTTGTTTTCCACAAAAATAGAATGCTGGTTGTTTTCATTTTTTGTTTTCAAATATTTGGCAAAATTACTTTTTTCAAAATAAAAAACACTCTTAATAATTAGTCCTAACTTGATGGTACAATACTTATATTTATTTTATATTGTACAATACGCCAGAGATATGGAGTGTTTGAACCCTATCAACATCACTTAAAAAGTTAAAAAATCATCAATTAAAAAGTTAAAAAATAATGTATAGTCTCCTTGATTCTTGTAGCATCCTCGGCCTTGGAGAGACAAAAGCAAAAAACTAAAATAGACTTACAGTTCTTTTTTTGTTTTGTTTTGTGTTTTTTTTTGTTTCGCTAGGCAGGGGTGGGAAGGGGGTATATGGACTATGCTTGAGGCAACTACTTTGTTTTATTATATAGTGATTACCATCCTCTCTCAACTCTTTAACTCCAAAACACGAATCTTGATAATCAAGGCTGTTGCATGAAAAAACAAGTTAAGCCCAGTACTACGAGGGATATAACAGGGATTAAACTCTGAACTTACAAAGCTTATTAAACTCACTTACAAAGTGAGCGTAAAAGAAACTTTTTAATTTTGCAAGTAAGAAAAAAGTAGATAAAATAAAGATAAGTAATCTTAATTAAAAACATTCAAAATAAATAACCAATCAAAAAACATTTAAAATAAATAACCAATCAAAATCATTAAAGTGTTAAGTTCATGGTTAAGACAAGGGTTCGGAATATAGGTTGCATTATTGTTTGGTGTTTAATTTTCTTATTTTTATCACACATTTATGTATAGAAAATCTTACTCTCATGTCAATTTGTAGAACACTGTATAAGAATTACAATAATTTGTGATAATCATTTTTATGGGGATCAAACAAATATATATAAAACATAAGCATAAATTAGTGTCATGTCAGTTTTTGTGACTACTAAAGCATACAATTGATTCACCAAATGCAGTTAAAGTATTGAAAAATAAAATATGATAATAATAGTATATTTATATATAATAATTTTTTTAGGTTTTAAGAGCGCATATTTTGCCATTAACAAATGTAGCTTTTAACAAAGCTGGAACAAGGTTTGCATTTTTTTTTAACTATCATTGTATAATTGCTAACTTATGATACTTGTAAATTTTTTTCATAGCTGATATATTAGAGAATTTAAATTTTTCTTGTCAAAACATGTCAAAACATATTTCTCACTAATCTATCTAAGCAAAAAATGTGATAAGGTGTTATAAAAGGACACCATAAATTTAAACTTTTTGTTTTAATTAATAATTATTTAAATTTAATTTTAATTGAGCTTAGAAAAAGGTTAAAAGTTAAAGATAACCCAAGTGGTTAATATATTATATTATGATATATATTATTTGTATAAAATAGCATAGAAATGTATTGTTATACACAGTATGCTACTTTAAATAAATCTCTGAAAGACACAACATTGGGGATGATGCTATTAGCAGTACCAAGGTTAATTTTTTAACATTTTTTGATACAACATGAATTTGATCAGTAGTTTAAGTTTTCCTAACTAACTGTAACTAACTAACTGTAACTAACTAACTATAACTAACTAACTGTAACTAACTGTAACTAACTAACTGTAAGCTGAAAATGCAATGATAGAGTTCTGAATGTAAAATTGGACTCTAAAAACTCAAGTAGTAAAGCCTGAATTGTAGTCTGCTTTTACAGGGAGTTTTATTTAATGATTTCTACAATTGCACAATTTACATATTAATATCAACTATATAGAAGCACATTTTTATAAAAATTGCTTGTTAATAAAGAGTAGAGTAAACCTATTAAGAATATCAAATTTAAATTATTAATAAATATCTAATTTTTTGAATTTCAAAAAAAAGTTTTTGTATACATTTTTCTTTAAAAAGGAAAAATGTATACAAAACTATTTTTCTTCATTATATTATTTTCTTTAATAGTCTTATATACTAATAATATATCTAAAATAATGTAGGAAAATAACCATTCTTTCCAATTAATAAGTCCAACCATCAGTCTTTCTGGTTTATATTTACTGATTTTTAGTTGTGCTTATGGCACTTGTGTTTTAAAGTTTTACTACTTGCTGCTGCTAATAATAGTGCAAAATTAAATTTAGTTTTATAACTGGAAGTTATGACAGAACTTGCAAAGTTTGGGATGCTGCATCTGGTGAAGAACTTTTAGTATTGGAAGGTCATAGAAATGTTGTTTATGCTGTTGCTTTCAACAACCCGTATGGGTAAGTTTTCCTCTCTAGTTTTAAATAGGGGCTATATATAAATATAAATATATATGTGTATACACACGATTTGTATACAAATGATTTGTTTTACTAAAACAAAAATAAAAAAGGTTCTTACTGTTTTTTCTATATTAGGAGAATAGCAAATAAATCTTTTTTTTAAATGTCTAAATAAAAATACTTATATAATTTTTTTCATTATAATTTTATTAAATTAAATTAACATTAAAAAAAAAAATAAAAGATTTTTTTTCTAAGTTCTACTAATATAAAAAGTATTAGTTAGAACCTTGTCAAACCGAAATAAGAATTACTTAATGACGTAATTAATTTTGTCAACAAAAAGCTCCAGAACTTTAGTAAATGCATGTAGTTTTAACTTACATTACACAAATTTAAAAAAAAAAGTGCTTTAGCATTGTTATTCAAAACTTTTAATGTAAAAAGGTAACATTTAATATTTATACTTTTTCATTGTCTGCTGTGGAATTTTATATATATATATATATATATATATATATATATATATATATATATATATATATATATATATATATATATATATATATATATATATATATATATATATATATTAGGGTGTCCCAAAAAACAACATTTTTGAAATAATCTGCTCTTAAGGGGTCCCTCAAGACCCTCGAATATTTAATGGGTCCCTAATATTTTCGAAAAAAAAATTTTTTAAAAATATGTCAACCTGGTACTTAAATGAAGCGAAATTATATAAAAATTTTAAAAATAATATTTATTTTGAAACAAAATTGTTATTTTTGGTTTTATTACATAAAAAATTGAGTTTTTTTAAGAAAAAATGAAAAAAATGCATTTTTTATGTTTTTTTTTAATGATAATTTTGATAAATAAATTAAAAATATTTTAAAATGAATATTATTTTTGAAATATTTATATAATTTTGCTTCATTTGAGTACCAGGTTAACATATTTTTGAAAAACTTTTTTTTCGAAAATATTAGGGACCCATTAAATATTCGAGGGTCTTGAGGGACCCCTTAAGAGCAGATTATTTCAAAAATGTTGTTTTTTAGGACACCCTAATTAAAACACCTCATAAAATATTTTTTATTCAAAAAAAATTTAAACCTAGTGTTTTTGTATTAGATAGAACACATTTAGGGGGTGAGAGCAGATTATTTTCAAAAATGTTGTTTTTTGGGACACCCTAATATATATATATATATATATATATATATATATATATATATATATATATATATATATATATATATATATATATATATATATATATATATATATATATATATATATATATATATATATATATATATATATATTAGGGTGTCCCAAACATATAGTCATGTAATATTTGTAATTAAACTTTAGTAAATTATCAATAGATGACTACATTTTTTTGAATAATTCAATTTATACAAAGTGTTGATCAACAAATTTAGTTTGTAATCTTATAGTATTTATATCTTGAGCATTGAAATAAAAATAAATGTGAAAGTTTTTTATAAAATAAATTTTTTAAAATAAAGTTTTTTTTTTTTTGCAAAACTGTTATATTTTAGTTATTAACATGTTTTGATCTTACATCATACATTTTCAAAAATTTACAATTAAAATTATAGTGTGAATATAATATAATTAAAATTATAGAATGAATAAAATATAATGAAGAGAAAAAAAAAACAGAAATATAAATTTTTTACTTGCCAATGAAAAGTATATTTGAAATTTTGAAATTGTAAATAGTTTACACAAATCATAATTCTGTGTTATTCCACCATTATAATCATAAATGATTTTTTATTATTTTTTCTTTTTGAACTAATTTACTTCTAACAAGGTTGCAAGCAACCATTATCTAAGTTAGGAGTTACCAGAAAACAAAGATTTAAAAAGCAAGAAAATAACAAAAGACTTGAAAAATTGTAAATTGTATGAGTTCGGAAAACATGAAGAAGGGAGAGAATCCAATAGGAATAATGCACATAAAAAAATTTTTTTTTTAGAAAATGATAACAGATAAGATGTGACCTTGCTAAATGCTAAGCAAGTTTAAATTTTGGTTGTTAGAACAAGAGATGCTAGCTCATTTAAGCAGTGGCTATGATAGATTTTGGAGAAAGAAAAAAAAAAGATGCAATCTTGCAATGGTGGGGCAGACTCAATCCTAGCAGCTAGAGCAGTTCTAACTACATTTACAATACATTTGTAAATGTACTTTGTCTGGACAAGAAAGGACTTGTTAGAAGAACCAGCCCAAATATGACAAAAGTATTTCATAAAGAAACAAATGAGTGATTTGTAATGTAGAGAATGGAATCAGGTGTAAAGAAATGGCAAACACAATAAAGAAAAGCAGATTTAGCTTACCAGATGCTTGCTTTTTAATCAATTATATACACATTTTCCATGAGAGGCCAGTAGTAAATGATTTCCAGAGAAGATGTTAAGTAAAAGATTATTATTCTGTTTATTAATGTAGAAGTATCAACAACACTGAAGTAATTGCTAACTTTAAACAATTGTTTCAATTAAAAGTCAATAAATATTTTAAGCCCGAAGAAGAAGGATTTCACTTAAGATCAGCTGTCTGTTGACTTTTTTGTCAAGACTCTTTTTTGATATATTTTTTTGATTTTTTCTTATACTAAACCTGATATTGTTACCAGAAAGTATTTGCAGCAGTTATCATTTGTATCAAAACATTTTTCATATCATTGCACATTTCATATTCTTCCAGTATTTGAATAAAAATATCATATTGAGCTTGTCCAGTTCCATGATAGTTAGCTGTTCAGCTGTCAAGGTTGTTCAGTATCATGATACATAGATGTCAAGGTTATCCAGTACCATGATAGATAGCTGTCAAGGTTATCCAGTACCATGATAGATAGCTATCAAGGTTATCCAGTACCATGATAGATAGTTATCCTGCTGTCAAAGTTGTAAAGTGCCATTATAGACAGCTGGAATGTCAAGCTGCTTTATTTCCCCATCAGTTTTAACTAAAAATGCAAGTTTATTTCTTTTAGATTTTTTTTACCATCTGTGATATCTTTTATATTTTTCCCATTAAAACAAGCAACAATTTTAACATTAAAATAATTTTAAAAACTTTCTGAAAAAAGCTCAAGCATTTTTATAGCTGATTTATAGTTGCTCTATAGTTGATTTGCTGTTCAATATTAATTTCTTTTTTTTTTTACTGTTTTACTTCATTTCAGCTTGATCAAATTTCAATTAATCTTAAGAGATTTTGATTTTGAGTATATTAGTGGTTGTAAATATTTTATTACAAAGCAAGTAATCAATGCAAGAATATGAATTTTTGATGCCATATTTTATGTTCTAATTATTACAATTTGTATAATCAACATTATAATTAATTACTTCATTTTCTGACTTGTCTTTATTTCCCAAGGTATAAAATGAAACCTTTTCAAGGCTAGTTTTTTATTTCAAGGTTTTTTATTTGATTTTTTTATTATTATCTTTATCAATCCAAAAAAACTTTCTTTTCTTCTTAAATTCTTCCACAGACTTTTCTGCTGCCTCAGAAATACCACCACCTTCATAATTGTCTAAACTCTACTTTTCTTTAATATTTCCCAATTATATGGGTGATAGTAAATAATGATATTAAATAAATCTTTTTGATACTTTTGATTCTGAGGGATTTCAGATTCTGGTTTTTGTTGATATTAATGAGATTACTAGGTAGAATACTCCAATCAGCAATCACGCATTTACATAAAAATGTTTTGCCAGCTACATATTTAACAACTCCTGCCCAAATGTGCCCAAATGCAATATGAAAAACTCTGAAAATTACTAGCAATAAATGCAATATGAAAAACTCTGAAAATTACTGGTCCAGTTTGTGCAAGTGCAGGAGCAATTAATGGTGATTCAATCTATTTCACTTTACTTACGCCATGGAAAATCCTGTAGAATCAAATAATATTGTTTCAGCGCCAACAGTTTGCATCATTGGCTTTCATGGTTAGAAGAAATCAGGCAATTTTGTGGCAAATTTTATTTGGTTGCTTTCTATATTTTTGAAACATTTTTATGTGCTTGTTAACATTACCTACTTGCTGCTTAAATAAATCTAGCAAAGTTTAGACAACTCTTTAGAAATATTCTTTACTCAATTAGTTTGCTTTCTGACATCATCTTGCAGTCCTAAATACCTAGCAATTTTTTTTGTACAAAGACTTTCTACACATCACCTGAATGTTATAATGTTCTGAATATCTATTTAATATTCTGCTTTTTATCTAATAAATGTTCTTTTTTATTACTTTGTGTGTCCATTTTTTAGTAGCTAGTTCTATTTTTGATTTCTATTGCTTAATACCAAGAGATATGTTTATTTAAATCTGAAAATGTAATTCATGAGATAATTAGATAAATGTATTTAATGAGATTTAAGTTAAATAGTATTTATGTAGTGAGAGGTACCAAATAAAAGGTTTATACATGACCAAAGGGAAATAGCTCTAAAAACCTAACATACAGGTTCATTAAACCCAATATTAGGGAAATTAAAATTTTAAAGAAAGTTTAAAAGTCATGACCCTAATATACATATACCTATAAAATGTAACATGAATTTCAATTAAAGTTTATATGTATTTATGCATATTGTATGCCAATAAATTTTTAAATTGCCATTTAAATTTTTATACTCCATTTGCAGGGATAAAATTGCAACAGGATCATTTGACAAAACATGCAAGGTATCATTTTATTTTTATATAAAATATGCAAGGTATCATATTGTTTTATATAAAATATACAAGGCATCATATTGTTTTATATAAAATATCTTTATGTCCTTGTAAGGTATCATTTGATTTTATATAAAACATGTATCATTTATGTTTATGTAAAACACATAACTTGAACATCTATTTAACTCAAATGTTTAAAATTGAGTTTTCATAAAATTTTGTGATTATTGGCATATATAAAATTTAAAGAGAATGATATATTAACATTATTTTGATTCAATTACTCATTATAGCTTTGGAGTGCTGAGACTGGGAAATGCTTTCATACTTTTAATGGACATTCTGCTGAAATTGTAAGTTAGCAGATATTGATTTTTAAAAAGGCATAAAAATGACATCAGATAAAACATTGTTGTTTTATTATTCGCTCTATTATTATTATTTTTATTCTGGTTTTTTATTAATTATTCTCCATCATTTCTATTACTTTAACATTAAAAAATTCTCAATATCTATACTCCAAATACCAATGTAATTCTAATATAATTAATACTTTGTCTGATATTCTAATATAATAAATATACCATATTGTATATAAATATATTAATTCTTTTACAACCTGTACCTATTAATATCTATGCTACCAATACTAGACATGCATATATATTTTTATTTTTATACTCAAAATGTTAAGCATTTGCCTTTTGACTCTTGTGCAAGCATAAGCTAGTGCTAAAAGCTTTTGACTCTTGCGCAAGCATAAGCTAGTGCTAAAAGCTTTTGACTCTTGTGCAAGCAAAAGCTAGTGCTAAAAGCTTTATCGAATCAAAAACTTAGTGGTTAAAGGTAGCATTTATGTAAAGTTGAGATTTTAAAAAAATCAAAAGTTCAGTTTTCTTTAACTCTTTTTCTAAAGTTATTATAACAATATAATATTGAAAGTAAACATCCTTTTATAGCATGTTCTAGAATACTTTAATAAACATCTTTCCAATGTCATATTCTTGAATCTGTCATATTCTTGAATACTTTCATAATCTTGAATACTTTCATAATCATGTTCTACAATACTTTAGGTATTACTTGAACAAAAATGAGTTTACTTGAACAAAAATGAAATTAGAGGAATTAAACCAAGGATAATGTTGCTGCTTATCTAAAACTGACCTCCACTCCATTGCAAACTGATGCTCAATTGTGAAACAGTTTTAAGTTCCATGAATGCAACAAAGAAAGAGATGGTTATCAATAGTTATTAAAGCTATTATAAAAGCAAATTTTCAATATTTTTATTTGAACAGCCTTTTAATGTCAAAAGCTGTTTAATATTTTTCTCATTAAAATTATTTTTAATGAAAAAACTACAAGTATTTAAGTATCATTATAGATAGTAATCATAGAAGAATTTATTGAGAATTTAATGCTTTTAATATAAATAAGAATTTAATGTTGCAAATTGTAAAAAGTCTTTTACAGCTTTAGATTTAGAATAATCACAATTATAATCATGATTGTTTTAACAACTTTGTTTGAATAATCACAATTATAATCATAATTGTTTTAACAACTTTGTTTGAATAATCACAATTATAATCATGATTGTTTTAACAACTTTGTTTTTAAATCAATTTAATCATCAATAATCAAGTTAACTTTTTAAATGTGTTTTTTTTTTTTTTTTTTAATGTTTAAAAGTAAAACCAACTCATTTCTATCCTCTTTTCTCAGATTACACCTTATTTTTTTTAATAAAATATAAAAAACAAACTCATATCTATTCTCCTTTTTCAGGTTACACTTTTTTTTTGATAAAATATGAAAACCAACTCATATCTGTTTTCTTTTCTCAGATTATTTTTTAAATTAAATATGAAATAATGACTTTGATTTTGATTATAAATTTAATTTTAATATTTTGATATTTTAATAGTTTTAAATTTTTAATTATTTTTAAGGTTTGTGTAACATTTAATTTCCAAAGCACACTTCTTGCTACAGGAAGCATGGACAACACTGCAATGCTGTGGGATGTGCAGAAAGGTGTTGAAGTTTTTACATTAACTGTAAGTTAGCAATTTTAAAATTTTATTTACTTTTAACTTGTTTCTCAGCGTAGCAACCTTTTTTATCATGAATTGTGTTTTGGAGACATAGACTGAAAAAGAGTTGTGACAATATTAATAAAAAAATAGCATGAACTGCATTTCTAGATTTATTACTAAAACCTTTTTTTTTTTTAGTCAAAGCTCGCCTTCTCCATTTTGTTGTAGACCAAAAAGTCAGCATAATATACACCACAATCTACAGACTGTTTACATAATTGATCTTTTACACAAACAAAAAAAATCAATGATGTCATGTAATAAAACTCTTAGAAACACACTTGAATAAATTATCAAGTCTATAGATTGTGGCTTATATTATGCTGACTTTTTGGTCTACAACAAAATGGAGAAGGCAAGCTTTGACTAAAATAAAAAAGTTAATTTTTCTTGGTTTGCATTTATTCTTTTGTTTCAATCAAAAAAATTTGGCCCAAACATTTTTTTGTTATGATTTGGGATCCCTTTAATAAGTTAAAAGTGATGCTTACACATCTAATAGAGACCCAAGTTTTCATTGAGAACCTCATACTTTTTGAGAGCTGTTTGTTAACCAAGGATAAGTGAAAAAATACAACTACACTATTGGCCTAATTAATGTAACACGTTGATTAATTTTGGGTAGCTGATTTTATACAATATTGAAGTTTATGCGCTCGACAGCTTAGCCAATCAATTAAATAAAGTTCAAGTGTTCATAATGTACTAGATATAGTGTATCAGCTTTTAAAGCATTATATGAAATCAAATTTTGATAGTTTCTTATAATTTTTGTAATGAAAACATCTGATGAAATGGTTCTATGAAATAAAGTTTCTTATAATTTTTGTAATGAAAGCATCTCCTGAAATGGTTCTATGAAATAAAATTTCTTATAATTTTTGCAATGAAAGCATCTCATGAAATGGTTCTATGAAATAAAGTTTCTTACAATTTTTGAAATAAAAGCAGGTTGTGAAATTTTTATATGAAATGAAGTTTCTTATAATTTTTGCAATGAAAGCATCTCATGAAATGGTTCTATAATCCACAAGATGTCAAAGGAGAAATATGAAATTTCCATTTTTTAAGATAAAATGCTTTTTATACTTTGTTGAAAGTTATTGTATCATTGACCTTATCACCTAATTTTTTAGATAACATTCTATGGCTATTTTAACTTCTAACAGATTGATGGAATTGATTGGTTGATGAAACTATATATATATATATATATATATATATATATATATATATATATATATATATATATATATATATATATATATATATATATATATATATATATATATATATATATATATATATATATATATATATATATATATATATATGTATATATATACTATATGTACAATTATATATTGGTACTGTTATATTATATAGCACAACCAAATTTTCTTAAATACTTGTATTTACTAGAGGTCAAATGAGTTTGCATAAATATAATCATTTAGCTTAATGTGAAATAAATAACATTTTATATAAATAAATAAATACATAGGTTTACCCACAGCTACTGTGTTTTGCCAGAATAATGGATAAGTTGGCAGAACACTTACTCAGCTGTGCAACAAATTATATTAGTAAAATGTTCAAGAGTTTTCTGGTAGAATAGTTCTCTATTCACTATTAAATAAGATTTTAGTTTTTGCTTATAAATAATTGTGTTTTTTTTTTTTTTTTGTCATGAATAATATTTGGAAGTATATTCCAAAGTTTAGGACATAGTTGGATAATGATAAAAATGATTACTGCATTTTGAGAAGTGAATTAAATTGCATAATGATGTTGGTGCTTCCTGGATATTAGATTAATTTCTTGGATATTAGGTTATTAAAAGGACATTGAAATAAATTCTTTCTCTATTTTTCAGCCAAAGCAAATTGTTAAATTCCTGGTCATTTATTTGATTTTCTATTTTGATTTTAAATACTAGTTTTGCTGCACAATAGTGAACAGACTGCAGTTTTTTTAATAGTTTCTTTTCAATTCCAAAGTAGAGGAAGTTGCAATAATATGAAATAAATACTTAGTGAACATACTATTGTGCACAAATCTTTGCGTTGTAAGAATTGTTTTATTTTGAATATTTTACTCATTATATTGTAGCCATCCTATTTTATGTTTTTAAAGACAATTTATTGTTGAGTATCACACCTAAACATTTTGCTGAGTCAACAAGTCTAATGCAAGGAACGCATCCTTGTTGACAAAAGTACCTTTAATAATGGTATCTTTTTGATTGTTAATTGGCTCCACAATTAATATTTTTGTTTTTGATTGGTTAATACATGAATAAGTTATTGGTTAATACATGAATTGTTTAATACAATAAATTGGTTAATACATGAATACAGAATGATTCACTCATCCATTTAGATATGTATCCAAGACATTTTGGTATATCCAGACTAGTGCATTATATTGAGATGATAAAGGGAATGCTTTTAGAGTTTGATGGACATCTGAGTATTTGTAAGGTTTACTATGTACTATTTGTAAGGTTTACTATGTTACTAACTATGTTATTAATTAAAATTTACTTGATGTAACTAATTTGTGCTTTACTCTGTTATGTAAACTACCCATAAGTAGCAATTAGTTTAATAAAACAACACATTTATGTACAATATTTCTCTTTACCACTGGGATTTGTGCAAAAGATAATTTTTTAAAAATAAATTCTTAACATTGTACTTAATCATACCTAAACTTAACTTCATACCTAAGTATGAAGTTAATAGTATCAAAAATATTACGTGTTATTTTCATTTAAGTTCATTTAAATATTCTTTCATATTCATCAAAGTTTCATTTAAATATTCTTAGTTACTTTCATTTAAGTTTTCTTGTGGCTATAACCTTGCTGCGCAATTATTTTTACACTTGTTTATTAAAACAAAGAGGTTTTTTATTTAGGTTCTGATTGCATCCTTACCCATGATAACCACTATTAGCAGGGATTATCTTTTTCCGGAATTTCCAGAATTCCAGATATTTCTATTAATTTTTAATTTTTCCGGAATCCAAATAGTTTTCTGAAAATACAAGTTTCAAATATATTTTTTTTTGTTATAAAATAATTAAAACATAAAAGGTATTGTTCATCAATTACTCTACGCAATATTTTTACTTAAGGTGAGGCATTATTTGTACAGATAAATTTTCTTTTTTTACCTGTGCTGTGTTGAGACAATTTGTAGTAATTGCTCAGCTTTATGCCAATAAAAATTTGAGCAAAATTGCTAAAAAATTTTATTCACTTAAAGCTGAACAATTTTTCAAAAAATGCAGAGTAAAAATAATTTTCACAAAGTGTATTTAAATTAAAGAATAAGTTTTGAGTTAATTACCAAATCAATTTATTCATTGAGATATTAACAAAAATATTCTTAAATATGAAAAAAGCATTTTATTGCCTTATCTTTCTGTATGCCTTGAAAATATTTTTCAGATTTTTTCCGGATATTATTAGGAAAAAATTTTCTTGATATTTTAAATATGACTAGGATAATCTCTGTAGTAAAGGTAAGGGGATGTTTTTTCAAATTTGAAAATGGTAAAGGGATGGCAGCCTGTTCCATCTAGCCTTACTTCAACCACTGGCTGTGCTGCAAAATATTGGAAAAGTTTGTGCTGATTAGCTCTAAGAATAAAAAATATTCACCTTATGAGTGTGTTGGTCAGTGTTTTTTAGGGTACTATTGTTAGACACTTTTTTTGTTTAAACAATGAACAAGTAAACAAAACTTGTTTACATTTATTTTTCTTCAGGGGCATTCCGCTGAAGTTATATCAATCTCATTCAACACAACCGGTGATCAAGTTTTAACAGGATCATTTGATCACACATGTATTGTATGGGATGCAAAATCTGGGAGGTAAAATAAAATTTTGTTTACTGTAGTTTATAATAATCATAATTTCAAATTTCTATTAAAAAATTTTTTTTTAGAATTAAATTACTAATTTATTTTTAATTTAGTAACAACTAATGTTATTATTTATAATTAATTTACTTATTTCAGGAAGTTAAATGTCTTATTAGGCCATCGAGCAGAAATATCTAATGCTTTATTTAATTTTAACTGCTCATTGATTGTATCTGCATCAATGGTAATTTTTGTTTTAAAAGTTAATTATTTAAAATTATTTTTTTAATAAATATTTTCAACAAAAAAATTTTTACATTGTTGTTATTTTTTGTTTGTTACTATTATTATTCTTGCTGTTGATGATTTTCACTAAATGTTGTATTATTATTGTTATTATTATTACTATTATTATTACTATTATCATAAATATTATTTTTTTATAATAAACATTGTTGTTATTAATATTAGATTGCTTATTATCTAATTTTTTTTTATTTTATGTTTATTTTAAGGATAAAACTTGTAAAATTTGGGATGTTGAAACTGGCAAATGTGTTGGAACATTGAGGCATTTAATTTATAATAACAAGGGGCAAATTAGGACATAAGGAGATATTTCTGGTCTTTAAATTTTCTGTTTTATAAAAACTTTGATCTTTTTTTTTATTATTATTATTTTTTTTATATTACTTTAAAATGCTTACAAAATTTATTATTTTGACTATTTATTATTTTGACTATTTATAATTATTTGTTGCATATATGCTGAAATCATAAGAATGTTACATTATACTGTTTAAATCAACAAAAAAATTATTTTAAATTCAAAATTCTTACGTAAACTTTAGTTTAAAATAGAAAGAAATCCCTCAATTGCCTGGTTCAAACAAAATACAAAAAATTTGTTTATTAAAATTAAAAAATAATTATGAGATATTTTTTAAAACGTTTTTTAAAGCTTTTTACTTTTTTAGTACCTAAATTATTTTTTTTAATTTTTCTTTTAATATTTAAATACAGTTTTTCTCAAAAATATAGAGAAGTAAAAAAAAGGGTGGGTGGGGCAGATAAAGCATGTATTGAAGGCAACTTGTATGCTAATTATCAATGTTGACGAAAAAATATATATTAACTTGTATGCTAATTATCAAAAAAAGCATTGTATGCTAATTATCAATGAGGTAGTATCACAAAAAATACTCATTTGTAGTCTGCAAAACAGGCAAATCGGAAGTATGGAATCAACAAAACAGGCAGATGGGAAATATGGAATCAATAAAACAGGCAGGTGGGAAGTTTGGAATCAACAAAACATGCAAATGGGAAGTATGGAATCAACAAAACAGGCAAATGGGAAGTATGGAATCAGTAAAACAGGCAAATGGGAAGTATCAGGAAAGAAAAATAGGGAAAGTAAGGGTAGAAAAATTTTCATATTCAAATATGATTATCATAAACTAAATATGAAAACATTTTCATAATTCAAATTTAAATTCTTCAAATTTAAAACAGAATGAATGCATTTTAAAAAAAGTTGAAAATAATTGCAATGAATTTATTTTTATATCTTGATTAATAGGCATCATAGAATATCAACTATTAAGAGAAGTGAAATTAAATTACATAATGACATTAGTGCTTTCTGGATAATAGATTTGTGCGTTATTAAAAGGATCTTAAAATAGATTCTTTCTCTAATTTTCAGCCAATGCAAATTGTTAAGTTTCTGGTCATTTACTTGATTTTTTATTTTTGTTTTAAATACTAGTCTTGCTGCACAATTTTGAACAGACTGCAGTTTTTTAAATAGTGTCTTTTCAATTTCAAAGTAGAGGGAGTTGCTGTGAAATTCCAAAGTAGAGGGAGTTGCTGTGAAATTCCAAAATAGAGGGAGTTGCTGTGAAATTCCAAAGTAGAGGGAGTTGCTGTGAAAGTGTTAATAAACATAATGCGTAAATCTTTGTGTGTTAAAAATTGTTTTATTTTGGATATTTTGCTCATTATATTGTAGCAGTTTCTAACAATCTTATTTATATTTTTAAAAATAATTTATTGATGGTTATTATTTATTATTGTTATTTGTTATTAGGCAATATTAACTTATTTTATAATATCTTATATTATTAGAATATTAACTATTAGGAGAATAAAAATTAGACTTTAAATAAAATTTAAAAGAATATATGAAAGAGTTATAAATAAACTATTTTAAAAAGAAACAATATTTCCACCTAAAAGTAAGCAAATGAAAACATAACATTTTAAAATTAAATGCTGCGAATAACATAAGCTTTTTTTATTTGTAAAAAAAAAAGCCAAATTCATTTAAAATATAGAGAAGTTGAGTATTTGAAGACCAGGAATATCTATAAAATTCAAAGACCAGAAATATCTCCATAAAATTTGAAGACCAGGAATATTTCCATAAAATTTGAAATCATGGAATATCTCCATAAAATTGCAATTCACAATTTGATTCCTTAATTTCCCCCTCTAATTATGTGTGTATTTCTTATGTTTTCTGCAAATATGAATATTTTTATATTCAAAGTATTGAATTAAACTTTTTGAAATAACTAGAGGTCATGATGATGAAGTACTTGATGTTGCATTTGACTACACAGGTGAGCGCATTGCAACTTGCTCTGCTGATGGTACTGGACGTGTTTATAATAGTACTACTCAACAGTGTGTCTGCAAGTTGCAAGGACACGAAGGAGAAATTTCAAAGGTTTTTTATTTTTCACTCTTTAAGCAATAAATGTGATTGTATAACAAATATCAGTTATAACAACATATTAAAAACTTTTAACAAAAGAAAAAACTTCTTTTCAAATTTTAACAATATGAAGAAGAAAATTAAATTTAAAAGAAAAAAATTTCAGGATGTTGCTTAATTATTTATTTGTTAATTTTGTTAATTATTGTTCATTTGTTAATTTTGTTAATTATTGTTCATTTTTTAATTTTGAAGATAGAACAGTTTTACTATTTAGATGAAATAAAAAAAGATTTACAAAAACTTCTAGGTGTTAAAAATCTTTTTGTGGATTAAAAAGAAATAAAAAAATTAATAAATAATGCAAAGAATTTTTTTTCCAATTTCTTCTTTCAGTTACTGGAAAATTCAATATCTTCACTAATAATAAAGATATTTAAAAATTATAAAATATTAAAACAAATTTATAAAATGATTGCTTTAATAAGATATTTAAAGGGATCCCTAAGTTTTGACACAAGTTGTGTTATATTAAAGAAAATGTTTTGAAAAAATGTTACATTACATTATATTGTTGTTAATTATAGTTTATTTAGGTAATTGCAATTGAGTGTACATATACTGACTGACTCTAGTACATGAGATTGAAATGTGTTGACTTAAATAGAGAAATAGTAATTTAAAAGAAAGTAAAAAAAAGCTGTTCTTATCAACATAGGAATTGTTCATTAATAATCTATTTTCTATATTCACCCATAACCATTGCAAATATTGTCGCTTTGAAAACTTTATAAATTTTATATAATATATTCTTACATGGACAAATAATTTATATTTTATTATGATGTAAAAGTATGCCAACTTTTAATATAAAAGTAAAGATTTATACTTACAATTGTTAAAAATAAGTTGCAATACTGAAATCTTTAAACCAAATTTATTATTTTATTTTTAATTGCACAAAAATTTTTTGGGATTTGGTCAATTATACAAATAAACATGGTTCATACTACATCTTTAAAAAAAAAAAAATCCACTTTGAAGTCATATACTGAGACTGTTAAGAATTAAATGTGCATGAAATAAATTATTAAGTCTGCAGGTTGCGGCGTATAATATAAAGACTTTGAAAACCAAGAAAAAATTGAGAAAGCAAGCTACAATTAAAATGACAATTTTGTTTTATTGATATTTATTATGTAGTTTCAATAAAAAAGATTCATCCTATTTTTTTAAACATTTGCTTTGAACACAACTTGTCTCTTTAATATGAACACAACTTGTCTCTTTAATATGAACACAACTTGACTCTGCACTTTTAATATGAACACAACTTGTCTCTTTAATATTAACACAACTTGTTTTTTTAATATGAACACAACTTTTCTCTGCACTTGGGGATCTCTGTAATATGAACACAACTTTTCTCTGCACTTGGGGATCTCTGTAATATGAACACAACTTTTCTCTGCACTTGGGGATCTCTGTAATATGAACACAACTTTTCTCTTGGGGATCTCTGTAATATGAACACAACTTTTCTCTTGGGGATCTCTGTAATATGAACACAACTTTTCTCTGCACTTGGGGATCTCTGTAATATGAACACAACTTTTCTCTTGGGGATCTCTGTAATATGAACACAACTTTTCTCTTGGGGATCTCTGTAATATGAACACAACTTTTCTCTGCACTTGGGGATCTCTGTAATATGAACACAACTTTTCTCTTGGGGATCTCTGTAATATGAACACAACTTTTCTCTTGGGGATCTCTGTAATATGAACACAACTTTTCTCTGCACTTGGGGATCTCTGTAATATGAACACAACTTTTCTCTTGGGGATTTCTGTAATATGAACACAACTTTTCTCTTGGGGATCTCTGTAATATGAACACAACATGTCTCTTGGGGATCTCTGTAATATGAACACAACTTTTCTCTTGGGGATCTCTGTTATATGAACACAACTTTTCTCTTGGGGATCTCTGTAATATGAACACAACTTTTCTCTTGGGGATCTCTGTAATATGAACACAACTTTTCTCTTGGGGATCTCTGTAATATGAACACAACTTTTCTCTTGGGGATCTCTGTAATATGAACACAACTTTTCTCTTGGGGATCTCTGTAATATGAACACAACTTTTCTCTTGGGGATCTCTGTAATATGAACACAACATGTCTCTTGGGGATCTCTGTAATATGAACACAACTTTTCTCTTGGGGATCTCTGTAATATGAACACAACTTTTCTCTTGGGGATCTCTGTAATATGAACACAACTTTTCTCTTGGGGATCTCTGTAATATGAACACAACTTTTCTCTTGGGGATCTCTGTAATATGAACACAACTTTTCTCTTGGGGATCTCTGTAATATGAACACAACTTTTTTCTTGGGGATCTCTGTAATATGAACACAACTTTTCTCTTGGGGATCTCTGTAATATGAACACAACTTTTCTCTTGGGGATCTCTGTAATATGAACACAACTTTTCTCTTGGGGATCTCTGTAATATGAACACAACTTTTTATGATCTCTGTAAGTTAAAACAAGTACTAAAAATCAAACTTTTTTCAGAAATTAGGTTCTCAGTATAAAATGTTTAAATTTAAAAACAAATGAAGCTATTTTGTTAGAAATTTTCTGTTAATTCTAAAAATAGTTTTAGATTTTAAAAATTTTACCCCACTAAAAAGTTATAATGGAAACAATATTTGAGTTTTCATCTCCAACTGCACACTATAAATCCTTCATTTAATCAATTTAAATGTCATTTAAATCTCTGTTCACAATAATTGAATTTTTTTTTTATTTTATAGTTGATTTATTATTACATTTTTTTCACACTAATTATTTTTGTTTTTTCTTTTTACTTTTCACACTTTTGTGTTAATTAATTTTGTGCTCTTGCACTTTTACTTCTAAAGTGCAAAAGTACACATGGTAATTACAAAAATTGTTTCTTCAATTTCAAAAAATTTCTATAAATATCTGTAATTAAATTAAATTTAATGAACTTAAAATGTCAATAAATGAAACAAACAAGAAGCTGTCCACTGAGGAGAGCTTAAAAATTTCAGCTCAATTTTACTGCACACCGAAATCAATGTTATCCTAGCAAAATCAAACAAGACTTCAGTAGTTGGTGGTGGCAATACAACAGAATTTCCTTTTATTGAGTTAATTTTGATTCATCTTTTTTATATGCTTGACAATTGGCTTCAGTAAGCAAATAGATCAATAGATCATTTAAAAATGGAAAGCCTGGTCATAAACAGTAACAAGGTTTTATGAGTTGATTGCACTCAGAACTAAACAAAAGTCAGCTGCAAACAATTTTTGAGAACAGCATCATGCATATCAGAAGTTATTGCTCGTTATTTTGTTATTTTGAAAAAACATTTTGATTTGGTGAAATTTTTTTTGATAAAGCTATGTATTTATAGAGTTGTGATGAAACTGGTTTCAGTGGTGACAAAAGCAAAAGTTATTATCAGAAGAGGTGTAAACCGTACGCTAGTATTAACTGGTAATAGCAAAAAAATTAAACTGCACCGTTCATACAGTAAAATATAAAAAAATAGTAAAAAAAGTAGTAAAGCCTTGAATGGTAAAAAATTATATAACACTAATTTCCATTCTGGCTCATTCATCTCACATTCTGCTGGCTCTTGATCTTGGTGTTTATGTTGAAAGTGGTTTCAGAAGTTCGGGTAAATTGCTGAAAAAATTCTTTCAATAGTTTGATGCAAATTTATTAAAAAGAATGTTGAAATTGCATCAGCAGACGAATAAATTCCTGTCAAGAATAAAAAATGCTAAAGTCCCCAAAAATTTTTGAAATTGAAAAGCCAGAAATTCCTGTTCCGAAAAGCTCTGTATCCCGAAAAGATGTATAAAAGGGGGAAGAATTAATTTATACAAAAAGTTCTTCAACTTAGTTTATAAAATATTTACCTTAATTTCAAGGTCAAGCTTTTTTATTTTTTTTTTTTATTTAAGCTTTTTCTGTTTTATTAATATTATGTATATGTTTTAACATTAAAAAAATTTTTTTTTATATAATTTGCAACTGTTCGCTTTTAGGGTCAGTTTTTCTAAAAGTGGACACTTTTTTTAATTAAAACTTCAAAATTAAAAAAAAAAGATTTTTACGCTGCAAAATTTATCTAATCAGCGACTATGTTTCAGAACAAAAAATCTTAAAAATTCTAATTTTTAAAAAAGTTATTGAACTTTTTTTTAAAGAGTGTCTGGTTGGTGTTACTTTACCTCTATTATTTAATGTTATTATTTTTTTAGATCATATTTAACCCGCAGGGGACAAGAATTTTGACCGCAAGTAGTGATAAAACGGCGCGAATATGGAATCCAGTTAATGGAGAGTGCCTTCAAGTAAGTTTGTTTGGTTATATATTTTTAGAAAATTTAAATCATACAGAAATTTTTAATTTAAATTAATAAACTGGTAAAAATTGTGTCTTTTTTGAAATGACTGGTTCATATATATATATATATATATATATATATATATATATATATATATATATATATATATATATATATATATATATATATATATATATATATATATATATATATATATATATATATATATATATATATATATATATATATATATATATATATATATATTAATTATTAATCGGAATAATATATTTATGAATATTTACTGGATCTTTTGAATTTAACGATATATTTATAATTTCCATGAACCAGTCATTTCGAAAAGGACACAACTTTTACCAGTTTATTAATTTACATAAAAAATTTCTGTATGATTTAAGTTTTTTTTTACATTTTAATGGTTACTTTGAGATTTTTTTTAATAATTCACAACTTGGTTGGGTTTTTTTTATTTTTGTTTCTTCTCTTTTCAAGATCTTTATGTATTTTTTATTCAGTCCGATTTTAATCATACGAAATTCAGATATTTTTTATTTTCCAGTTTAAAATGGTTATACGTTTTCTTTGTGTTATTTTTTGTAGAACATCTAAACATATTCTTCATTTTCCTATCTCTTTTTTTTAACCTTGATTTTTTTTTTTTTACCTTAAAACAGTTTTTTTTTTGATGAATATGTTATTTAAATATAAGTTAGATATATATAGTTTACATAAAATTTACTTTTATTTAACATTTTCACATAAGACATTGCATTTTGTGGAGTTTCATTTTTGAGAAAACGCATATAAGTACCATACATGATTTAAAAAAGCTTTAAAAAATATTGGTGTATTTTTTTGCAATTGTAAAAATATCCGTATAAATTTTATAATAGATTTTATGGCCATTTAATTTTATCACATATACCCCCCAAGTTACACATTTCTAATATTGTTTAGATTTTAGAAGGACATACAGACGAAATATTTAGTTGCGCTTTTAACTACGAAGGAAACATTATTCTGACTGGTGAATTATTATTAATTTTCTTTATATATATTTTCTTTTTTATTAATACAATTAAAATATGCCGCAATGAATTTTATTTTGTTTTAGGAAGCAAAGACAATACTTGTAGACTATGGCGCTGAACTGATTATCTAATTCATTTTATAGATTTGATTTTATTCGATATATATTTTATAGGCGTTCGTAAACAAACGAAAGATTTTTAATTAAATGTTCTTGTAAATACTTAAATAATATAATAATATATACAATGTTCTTATAGTAATCGTGGATTTTGTCTATTTTTTGTTGTTGTTTTCTCTTCTCAAATGTACAAAACTGACAATTTTGGTAGTGGATTTTCTTAAATCTATGTTTGTGCTAATTAAATCTAGTTGTTTATTTAAACGCAATACGTTAGACAACTATTCGAAGACAATAACCGATGATATATATATCATCGGTTATTGTCTTCGACATTTATTAAGATTATATGAAAGTAAGAATTGGCTCATTCCCTGCAACGACTATTTCTGCCAATAGCTGTTTGCAACAATTTCTTTGAGTTTTATCATTAATATCCTTAATATTTATATGTAATTTTTTGAATACGTTTTACAAGTCGTTTGGTTTTTAGTCGTCTATTCTATTAAGTAAAACAACAATGACAAAACCAGGTATAGAGTTCTTCAAACTTTTTTTAAACAAAATGACATTCAACATAAAACAGTAGTTTATTGGGAGAGTTTGGAGATACAGGACTTAAATGCTAATTAATCAAAAGTTTATTGAAATTTATAAAATTAATTAAAATTTATATAAAAAATATTTTTTATCAATTTCAACAATTAATTAGCATTTGGTTGTTTAATCCAGGATTTAATAAACATAAAAGCTCTGTCAGGGTTGCCATTCAACCTGGAGTACCTGAAAATAGCATGAATCCCAGGGAAAACTTGGAAAACTCAGGGATTTTTTAAAATTTTCATAAAATTCAAGGAAAATAATTTATTTTTCGAAATTTTGTACAATAATTATTTTTTTTCTAAAATATTTTGTTAATACATATAATAATAAGTTTGCAAGATGTGGATGTTGTTGTGAAAGTTTTAGTCAAATATAAAGATTGTGTTTAATTAAGGAAAATAATAATCTTGTTGAGGAACAGGAAAGAATATAGAAAAGTCAGGGAACTTAAAGAGTTAAATTCTTTAAGTTCCCTGTCACAAACGTTAAGAATTAAATTTAAAGACCGTGACCTAGACAACTTTCACCCAAAAATTTCTTACCCAGATCGATAATTTAAAATTCAGGCTTGAATTAACATGTCCTTTGCATGGTATTTAATCAGCATGCCCTTTGCATGAAATTAAAATTAAATTATAAAAAAAAGTCTTTTATATGAAATATGGGTTCTTATACATATTTAAAGGAAATTTTCCTGAAATTGCCGCAAGCACTCTGAAATTTACAGACCGTAACCTGGACCACTTCCACCTGGAAATTTCTCACCCAGATCGATTCCATTCTGACAACCTCTCTCTTATATAAAAAACAGTTTAAATAAAATAAAGTTTGAAAAAAGAAATGCAGTTTTAAATTTTTTTCTTTTTATTAAAAGGCTGCTTCTCTAACCAAAAAACTCACATATAAGTTACGTCCACTCATTGTCTCTCTCTCTTTGTCTCTCTCTTTCTCTTTTTCTATTGCTCTTTATCTCTCTCTCTCTCTTTACAAAATTTAGTGGGTGTATGAACACCTTACTTGGATTATCCATAAAATTTACTTTGTCATATTGTCTGTCCTAATTCTGTCCTAAATACTGTCCTAATTCCTAAATATCTTAGCATTTCATTCAATTTTTTAAAAGAATATCTTAGACAATTTTAGTTAAGATTATTTAAGATAATATTATTTTTAATCATACAGTTAATAAGATTTCAAAAAAAACTGGTTACTTCATCAGAGCTACTGGATAAAAAAAAAATGTTTTGCCGGGTTTTTTTTCTGTAGTTGAAGGTGTTTTTTTTTATAAAATTTGCAACCAAGAAGTCCTCGCGGTCTTATCACAGAGAACTGCGAAGTTAAAATGAAATAAAGTGTCTGAATATCAAAATAGGAAATGCATGGAAGTAGTCTATACAAATTGTTTTCTTTTCCAGATAGAAGCAATAATTTTTTTTTAATTCTTCTTCAAACCGGGGATATTAGGTCCCGAGTTGGCAAGTGAAAATATTTTGTAAAAATGTGTTCTGCTACTCTGTATAGATTTCTGAAGTGAAATGCCCAAATGAGGGGCATACTTAAGATAACTTAGGTTCTTTAATCACGCAAACTTTTAAACTATGGAGCGCAGTTTGAAAGAAAATAAAGTTGTGCTAAAAATGTACTTCAAAGCTTCAGATTTTATCTATAAGAGACTCTTCAGAATATATTAGTTTACAATTAGTTTTAAAACTTTTTAAAGTTTTAATTATGAATGCGACTCTGATGTAAACACATGTAAAGACACATGTAAACAAGCTTGTTATAGTGTATAGTCTAAAATGTATATATAGTAAATAATAAGTATGTAAAATTTGATTTATAGTTGTGATCAAAGCGGCCTTTTATCTGTATCAAGTGATTTTTTGTAAAGGGCTCTCGTGAGATACAAAAGTTAACTATTGATGAACGTGGCACACTAACAACATATCTGGCCACTGTCAATGCAGCAGGGGACAGTTGACCACCATTTTTCATATTTAAATAAACAAAGATTTCAGATGCATCTAAATTTCCTTTGGGTACAAAAGTACATTGAGTAAAAGCGGATGTATTGATTAAGAGTTGTTTATTGACTTTTTTTACATCATTTTAATGAGATTCCTACAAAAGTGGATGGGAAAAAAATACTGTTTTTTTTTTGAATGATTAATTTTTGAAGCAATGTAATTAGCAATAGAGATGGGTATTAAATTAATACGCATTCCACCTTATAGTACACATCGCCTTCAACCACTTGACACACATGTTAATAGATTAGTTAAACATATATGGTCTTAGGCCTTGTTTAATTGCTTAGCTTAAAATGATAATATTTCTCGTTGAAACTTTCACATTATTTTTAACAAAATATTGCAACTTTCACGTTATTGTTAACAAAACATGGCTCAACATACTTGCAAAAAGAAGATTGATTGTTAATGTGTTTTACTATTGTGATTTGCACTCCCTAAGAAATACAGTGAAAGAATTCGAATACAAAAAAAAAAAGGAGATAATTGATAAAACAAAAATTAATCTGCGAGACCCAAATTTATCTGTTTTAAGGACTATTATATCTTCACTCAAAACGCCACATTGCTCTTATTACATTACCTCCTGAGCTTCATCCTAAAAAGGCTCTAATAAAAAATGTGATCAGTGTTAAAGAGAAGTCAAAATAAAAAAAGATAAATCAGTCAAAACAAAAATAAAGGAAACTTATTTTTCAGCTAATTCTGATCACCCAAGTTCATCTAGTGGTTTTATTCTAAAAATAATACTGATAAAGACTTTTTGTTGTGTTTGTGTAGTTTGGGGAGAAGGAAACGAAGATTAGCTAAAAGTTGGCATGTAAAAGGATGTTTTGGAGTTGATACGTATGGAAAATGTGTGCAAAGGACATATAAACGTCTTGTAAGTTTTTAAATAGTTAAAGTGATATAATTTTTGTTATTGCTTTAACGTGTTATTTTGTGCGCTAGCGCGATTAGACGGTTTTCATTTATGCCAAAATCATTATTTGATATTTTCTAGAAAAGGTTTAACAAATGACATCCTTTGAGATGCTTTAGAAATTAGGAAAATGACTTTCAGTAATTCTATTTTGTCGTTATCTCAGCGTAATTCTATCTGTAGCTTTCTGTAGGCCATCAGTAGTTCTATCTACATCACTTAGGGGTTTGCTGTTCTAGATTACGGAAATCATCCTACTATTATTCCAAAAATAATGCCTTATATCTAAGTTTTTTTTTCTCCAAGGTAAGTTGTCTTTACCACTAGTAAGGAATTTCGTCTATCGCTCAAGTGACGTATTTTTCAATTAGTTTAATTGTACTGACTAATTCGCCCCGTAATTGACGAATTCGCCCCTCATGACTTGATGATGAAAAAATCAAGTTCTAAAGTATTTTTAGAATTTAGTTTGATTCAATACATTAACAAAGTAGAGACCGTATTAATAAAAAAGTGCTTTTAAAATAGAAAAGTTTACTTATCTATATGCAATCTCATTTTGTTAAAGTAAAACATGACGAACTCCGCCCCGCCTTACCTAACTGGAAATAATTACTTTATGGTTTCCATAATTTTTATAACAGGGCACTTCAAGATAAAAAATAATTTTTTAGAACTTCAAGATAAAAACTATTTTTTAGACTTTGTTAAAAAGAAACATTTAACTTTAAACAATTCAATCAATGAAAGAATTTAAATATTAAATAACTTTGTCGAAAGAAATTTTTATAAAAGAAAGAGTCGTGAAACTTTAACAAAACAAAGAGAAAGGCAATAGAGCGAAGCGAGTTTAAGCTAAAGAAGGGTAGAGCGAGGCTAGTTGAGCATAGGGCCAAGTGGGGCAGTTAAAATATCTTAAAAACTACGCATCACATGACAAAAAATCAAATGGATGAAAATTAGGAAGTTAGAATGTTAATAAAATGCGCAACAAAAAATTGTAGAAAAGTTATTGCGTAAGATACACGGGCACCTTTTCTATTTTTGACCAAAAAAGTAAAAAAAATAATTTTGCTATTTTTCTTTTGTATGCTTATAAACCTTTTTATTTGCCAGCATTTAGGTGTTGATAATTTACCAATTTATTGAACTTTTGATTAAAATTAACTGTTTTTCCTTTAGTCTTACTGTTCTTTTTAAAACCTAACTAATGCGCCACCTTGTCTAGTAGGGGTAAGTTGAGCAGCTTTGAGAAAAATAAAAAAACTGAACTATCAAACACAAAGAAACAACTTTTTAGAGAAATAATAGAGCGGTATATTATTTATTTATTTATATATATATATTTTTAAAATAAGTAATTTTTAAATCGGGCTTTAAAGTTCACGATAGTTTTATAAAATTATATATTTACATTTTATGACACTTTCTTACTATGACACACATGTCTAAAGTTTGCAGAGCTGCTCTGCAAACTTTAGACATGTCTTTTTGACAATATCTTATCAATGTTTTTTTTGACAATATCTTGTCAAAAAAATCAAAAACTATATTTTTTTTTTGACAAATTTTTGCAAGATAAATAATCTTTCAAATTTTGAAAAAATTTTGTAAATCCGACGCACCGTTCATGAGATCTATTCAGTAAAAATTGCTCAACTAGCCCCACTCTACCCTACCTTAAAGAGTGGTAAAAAGATTCAAACCTAATTTTATAAAAAATAGCTAAATTAATACGTATGTATATTAGAGTGGATCATATTTTTTTAACTTATTGTCACTACTACAAAATGTTGCTTTAATATGAAGTTATTAAGAAAGCGATAAAAATTCGAGCTTCCTTCAACATCTTAGGAGGCAACTTTTGTTTAAACTTTATAAATTTATAAATTATTATAATAAACTTTATAAATTTATATATTATTATTAAACTTTATAAATTATATATTATTATTATAACTTTTCTACTATGTTTGAATTTGCCAATAACTCAAATAGAATATTTTAAATTATATTTAATTAACTATACACATATTTGGCATTGACCCTATTTTTAATTTCATTTTTACTTTATCACTCTTGTTCTATAGTTTAAGATTGGTGAATTATAATTGTAGGGGAAAGTTGGGTAGCCCCGGACGGCGTTTAATTCCGGACACTTGATGTACAGCTTAAATTAAAGAAACTATGTGAAATATTATATTTAAAATACTATAAAACATTATTTGAGTGAAAATATGGCATATGCAAAATATCTATCAAAGTATGCCAAAGCTGGAAGTATTTGTATATGGAAAGTATATGGAACAAGATATTGTTTCCCACCACCAGAAGCGATGTATCGTCATATTTGATTCAGATATTAGTATATCTAATTTTTATAATATAATAATAATAATAATAATAATAATAATAATAATAATAATAATAATAATAATTAGAGATTAAAGTTCCATAATTCGACAACAATCATAAATACGATGAAGTGATTCAGAAGCACTAATAAACAAGCATTGTTTAGGTCGAGTAAGCAGCATTGAAAAGTTCAATTTTTAGTCTTTTTTAAATGTTTCTAATGACATTGCATCACACATTTTTTTAATTAAATTGTTCCAAGTTTGTGGTACAGAGGTGTAGAAAGATTTTTTACCAAGCAATGTTCTTGCTCGACAACGTACAAGTTGGCAACTGTCTGACGATCTTGTGTTCGGGAGCTGGGAGGTTTGAATTTTAAGATATTGAAAAGGTATGCAGGAGACTTGGTTGATACAGTTTTATAAATTATGACAGACATTTTGTAAATTATTCTTTGACGTATTGGTAACCAAAGGAGCAGCTGAAGCAAATTTTCAGATTGTGAACGAAAAGGAGAGTGACAAACAACACGAGCTAACTTATTTTGAAGGCATTGAAGTTTGTTTAAATTTTTTTGAGAAGTTCCATATAGAAGACTGTTAGAGTAATTAAGTGAAGATTTTACAATTTCACTGGCAATTATTTTTTCAGCACTTTTGGTAAGAAATGGACGCATATAATGAAGTGAGCGAATATGGTAGTTGCAGGATTTTGTTATATATATATATATATATATATATATATATATATATATATATATATATATATATATATGCAACTTTTTTAAACATGAACGAGATTTTGAAGTATCTGTTATTATATATCAAATGAAAGATCTATAAATAATTTATTTGAGCATGTTAAAATCCATTAATGAGCATTTATATTAGTATATTAAATTCTTTATATGAAAATTATCTTTTTTTAATTCGTCAACAGTGAAAAAATCGCAATTTTTTAAAAATTGTATAACTATAAACAAGTTCAACCTTCACTTTGAACGAAAAAATAAAATAAAAATTTACAGTTAATTTTTTTAATAGCTTTTAAACGCTCTTTCCTTTATGCATTTAGCGGACGAATTTATATATATATATATATATATATATATATATATATATATATATATATATATATATATATATATATATATATATATATATATATATATATATATATATATATATATATATATATTTAAACAATTTTTAAAAAAATGTATTTTACAAAATAGAATGCTCAATGTTCTTAAAGGAACAGAGCAATTATAAATTAGTAGAAAATCACTTAACAAAATTTTTTTTTCATTTTACACTGTGTTTCATCAACAAAGACTCATCAGAAATGCATTTCTGATGAATCTTTGTTGAAAAAATTTTTTGTATATATATATATATATAAAAAATTTAAATAAATTTTATATATATATATATACATTTTATAAATATAAATGTATATATATATATAAATTTTGTATATATATATATATATATATATATATATATATATATATATATATATATATATATATATATATATATATATATATATATATATATATATATATATATATATATATATATATATATATATATATATACAGTGTTGTGAAAAAGTTAAGAACCACTAAAGAAAAAAAAATACTTTTTTTTTTCTTTAGTGGTTAATAAACTTATGATGGTCAAAAAGTATTTTTGACCATCATAAGTTTTAATTCTGGCCATGCATTTCATGCATGGCCAGAATTAAAACTTATGATGGTCAGATATAAGATAATAACTAGAAAGTATGTAATAAGATTGTACATAGAAAAATACACACACAATAAAAAGAACTATTGAACGTTATACAAAATAAGCAAAAAAGCATACACAGTTTTAACAGTATAATATCATAATATAAGTAGCAATTTAAAAGATTTACAAAAGCAAAATGTTCGAATATAATCAGGAAAACTTTGAAAATACCAAACATCGAGTTTACAGAATATATTTCACAAATTTTTAAAAAATGTTCTCAAAACAGTTAACGAGTCAATAAGTACTTCAAACTGCACTTTTATAAATTATAAAGTATAAATATTGTGTTTTTTTTTTTAAAGCAATCATGACCCTGCATTAAAGATTTTTTTGAGAATTGCCCAGAATAAGGACGATCCAGTTTATCCTAAATAACATGTGCAGGACGAACGGGCATTCGGACAACGGGCATTGTATTTGTATTTGCGCAGGATGAGCGGGCCGCATAAGCCTATTTCAACTTAAAAATCAAATTTCAAAGGCTGTGGTCCGTGTTTCTAGACTATATATTTCTTGTAACTATGTTAAAAATTTTGTTGTTAAAAATCAACATTTTTGGCGGCTATTTTGAACTTTTTAATTATTTTTAGCGGCCATGTTGGATTTCAATAAATGTACAATAGATAGAAATGTAATTTTTCATACTATTTATATAAGTTTGAAGACATTTTATAGCTTTGTATGACGATTACAAGTTGATTTAGGAGAATGTGTAATTTTGGCCGCCATCTTGGAAATAAATGCGGCTACCGTAAAATGGCCAACAAAATGGCGTCTGGCTCCCAACGGTTTTGGATTCCTCAGGAAATTTTCCTATAGGGACCATCAAAAACTTAACATATGTCTGAAAAACGACGTACCGAAAAATTAACAGTGATAGATGTTCAGACTAAAGTGTTACAGTGTTCCGTGACGTGAAGTGGTTCGTAATTTAAATACGTTTATATTTGATAATTTTATTAATATGTTTTTACGGTTTTGTATGAAATCGCTAATGTGTTCATATGATTAAGGTAAAATTGTAAATATGTTTATTGTTTGGGTTACAATGGTAATATTTGAGGTATATGATTTTGTATAAATTGTGATTATAATTTTCTTAGAGACTCATTTGAGTAAAGAAAAGAAAACATTTTGACTTAATGTTATATTTTTAATAAAAAACTATTTATATTTAAAGTGTTATGCGATATAAATATTATGTTCTAAAATTATGTTTTTTGTATCATATTCCAGTATCCTCTAAAATTGAATGTAATCCTTTTTTACCAAACTCTTTAAAAAACCAAAGTCATTTTATAATTCGCGCAGTGCGTAATAAATAATTCGTTTAATTCGAAATCTTTAAATCAAGAGTTGAAACAAAAGCTTTGGATTAATAAAATGTTTGTTTCTTACAATAAACATAATCCCGATAATAATCATAACAAGGACAAACAGCGTTCCAAATGTTAAAACGAAGTCAAACATGTATGGAGCAAAAATAAAACCTAAAAAAGCTCCTGCGGAGAACATTGAGTTTCGAATACTGTCAACAAATGTTAAAATATTCGATTTTACCATTTTGGATAACGCGTTGACGAAAAAAACGTCATTGATTATAGGAGCCCCTCCAAAACTTACCATATAAATAATGCATAGGATGACGTTTAACGCTTTGTTGAATGGAAAATATGAAAGAACTATAAATCCTGTGCTTACAATACAGTAACCAACCAAACTGATAATCAGTAATATTATTAAGCTATTATGAGACATAGGTTTCCAAATAAAAAGTATCAACATAATAACACATATTCCGCTCACTCCGAATAAACAAATGTTCATTTCTAATATTGATAGATGCATTTTCTCTATAACTAACAAAGGCAGCCATAAGTCTGCGGTTATAAAAAAAAAGGCTATAACAAAAGTAGTAAGCAAAATAAGCGCAGAATCAAAACGCAAAAACACCACTTTTAATATCTTTATAACGGTATGTTTCTTTGAGCTTAATGGTATATGTGCTTTGCTGTCGCCTGTGTAATTGTTTTTTTTATCGCTATCCTCTGTGTAATTGCTTTTTTCATCGCCGATGCCAGTCAAGATGTTCTCATTGTTATAACTTATTACTGGTATATTTTTAACGTCTTCGATATTTATATCAAATATAACATTTTCTACGGTATGAGTAGCGTTATTATTTTCTAACAAAGCTTTGTAATCAAATTCCTTTGATACATCGTGCACCATTGTTAGTGTTAAAATTTCCATAACAATACATACAAAACCCATGAAAAGCCCGGGAAAGTTAACGTCTAATAAATGCCAACGTCCTATAAAAAAGCTCATATCTTTAAAAAAAAAATTTATCCCAGGACCTAGCGTGCATCCTAAATTATACATTACTGATAAAACTGATAGTTTTGAACTTGTTTCAGAAGCCGGATAACATCGTATTGTTTCGCTAAATATTACTGATTTCAACGATCCACCAAAGCCGGCAATAATCCTTCCTGCAACTAAAAAAACTGGTGACAAAGGAATACTGTAGAGTACATTTCCCGTAAGCATTAACAAATTGCACATTAAAAAACAGCTTTTAATATTTCGATACTTATCGACCATTCTTCCAATGAATGGCATAAGAATAGTCGATGCTAACATGAAAGAAACAGAAACAATACTATACAGTAACTTCGGCGAGTTCGTGTTAATCATTCCTTTAATGTACAACCATAACGTTAAAAGAGTAAGTGTGTACTCAATTCCAATAATAACCATTTGGATTGAAAATGCAATAAAAGTGAGTTTTCTTTTCCTTAACCATTTTTCATTTTGCTGCGCATTTAGATCCATAATCTAGGACAATACAGTTTTCATATTTTTTAAAATAAATTTTGGGATGCAAAACATTAAATGTTAAAAAATATTAAATTTAAATACAAAAAAAAAAAAACTTATTTTTTATTATAAAAGCATATATGAAAATACAGTTTTTATTAAAAGCTACTAAAACGATCTTCTTACCAAACGTAATTATTAAAATGAATAAAAGCAATATTAAAGATATACAGCAATTTCAAACTGTCAATATTTCTTTAAATTAATCGTACGTAGTCCCTTTTATGGCATACTTTTTTTTTCTTTTAAGACACTTATTATACTTAGCCTTTGACAATCAATTAAGTTTTTTTAATAGATTGTAACGTATGGTCAATGTAAATTAAAAATAAATTATAATTTTAAAGATTGCATCAAAAAAAAAAAATGAGTTTTTCGTAAAATTAATTTTTTTTTTTTTAGATATCTTATCAAGTATTGTTTTAAGAATTTATTTGTGTATTATTGAATTAATTGCTTTTCAAATCTATTGAGTTTTACCCACAATTGATTTAATGGTGCATAAAATTGACTGCAAAAAATTAAAAAAAAAAAATTGTACAGTTTTTAAAAAATGTCAAATTTCATGGAAATTAATATCGCGTGGAGCCTCCTATGACTTTGGTGGCCTCAGCTAGACAGTTTGGCATTGAGTTGATCAAGTTTTGGGTATTTTCTGTTGTAATATTATCCTATAAGCTCATTATAGCTTCTTTAAAGTTATTTTTGCATGTCTTTGGACACCCATTAGGCGTACCAAATGAAACGACTTTTGTCCATCCATTTAAGACCTCTAAAGTACGTCCTAGGACGTCCAAAACAGACCATTTGGCGGTCTAAAGTAGACGCTATTAGACAAGGGCTGGACAAAATGGATTTGGTGGGTTTTGTATTTTTTCGTTTTTTTAAAAAAATCCAATGAAATAGAATTTTTAAGTTGTTTGTTTTTCAAGTTTTTTGAATTAACACTGAGCCAAGCGACAATGAACAATCTGACAGTTTTACATCTGAAATTGATAGTAATCTAGGTGACAATTTATAGAATTTCTAAGTTGTTATAGAATTTTAAGTTGTTTGTTTTTAGAATCTAGGTGACAATTTATAGAATTTTTAAGTTGTTTGTTTTTCAAGTTTTTTGAATTAACACTGAGCCAAGCGACAATGAACAATCTGACAGTTTTACATCTGAAATTGATAGTAATCTAGGTGACAATTGAAAAGGATTTAAATTTGAAGAGCAGTGATCATTTCAAGTTTAACAATGAGATTTTAATTAAGTTTTAACTGATTAAGTATTTTAAGTCGTTTAATGAACACTTACTATGTTTAATTAAGATCAACAGTTATGTTCAGCGGTTACGTTCAACGGTTTTAAGTTTTACTTTCATCAAGCTATGTGACCATTTTACAATTTAAGTTTTGAAAACTATTATTATAAAATTGTCAGTTTTTACTAAATTTTATTATCTTAAACAATATTGTTATGATATTTATTGAGTTTTCTGAAAATCTCCATATTATGATTGTCATGCAGTCATTAATATTACACTCTTGATTTAAAGGTGTAAAATTACACCGTTTTGGTGTTAATATAACCTCAAACGTTGTTTTTTGAAACTTTTTTAAGCAAAAAGTGTAAATTAACACCGTTTTGGTGTAATTATACACTCTGAAAGTCAATTTTTAATAAAACGGTGTGAAATAACATCTTTTTATAATCACTACACCGTTTTAAAAAGGTTTTTAAAACGGTGTAGTGATTTACACCGTTGTAAAAACCTTTTTAAAACGGTGTAGTGATTATTTTTTTTTTTTTTTTTTTTTTTTTTTTTTTTTTTATTTCGTCATTAAATGAATAATCTTTTACAATGTTTTTTTACAACATAAAAATTATAACATTAAAGTTTCGACCGGAGCTGGCAGAAGACATGATCTTATCATCCAGCCCCGTTAATATAACTAAAAAATTCAGCCGATAAAAATGAAAAAGGAAAAAAGAAACTAAAGCAAGAACTGATTTTAAGAAGAAAAGAACTTAAAAATCAAATTATTATTTACAGAAAAAGAAAAAAATAAAAAATAAAAAATATAAATTATTTCTTCTCGTTATTATTATTATTATTTTTTAATTCTCTATTTTATTCGACTTTAATTTTTATTATACACGCACGCACACACACATACGCACACATACACACACACACATACACACACATACGCACACGTTCACACAAATATATGTCCGTTCATATATACATACAAATCAAATAAATCTGTATTACATTCCATCTACAAATTGCGTAAGATATAATAAATATTTCATTTACAAATTACGTATTGTAAAATAAAATAATATCATACATGTACTAAGCACCATACAATATAATTGTGATGTTGAGTCAATTTATAAGACATTAAATAACTAAGATTACCAAAAGTTTTTAATAATACGATAGTAATTGCTTTGTGTCAAAACCAAATAAGTGTTGTTTTGTTGCACGTTTAAAATGTTGAGTTGAATTTAAAGTTTTTATATTGTTTGTTAAAAGCAAGTTCCATAACCGCGGCCCTCGGCAAGATATCGAAAAATCAGCTTGTTTTGATAATGTTTTTGGTATAATAAAATTATTTGTTGAGTATTTAGTTTCGTATTTGTGGTTTAAAGAAAAAAAATAAGTTTGGAAAATGCTTGGTAGCATACCATTTTTAAATTTAAACATGAAAATAAGTATATTAAGAATATTTATTTCATAGACATTAGGCACTCCAATTTCTCTTAGTAGTGGTTTGGCACTAGCGTATTTATTTGCATTTAATATCAAGCGAATTGCTCGTTTTTGTATTTTGTAGATCATATTTAACTTTGAAGGATAAGTACTTGCCCAGATAATGTTGCAGTAGCTGATGTAGCTATGAATAAATGCAAAATAAATATTTTTTAAACAATTTGTGTTTAGGAGATGTTTTGCTTTATACATAATACCAATAATTTTTGATATCTTATTTTCTATTACTTTGATATGGTTACTCCAGCTAAGATGTTCATTAAGAATTACGCCTAAAAATTTGATTGAGTATTCTCGTTTAAGTTTAGTTTTATCAATTAGTAAATCAGGTAGTTTCAAGGGGAGGGTTTCAGATTTTGATAATTTTGTAAAAAGAATATATTTACTTTTTTCGACATTTAAGGAGAGTTTGTTAGCCTTAAACCATTCGTTCAGGTTTTCAAGTTCTTGATTAACAGTGTTAAATAATAGGCTAATGTTTGTGTGGCTAAAGAACACTTGCGTATCATCGGCAAAAAGGACAAAGTTAAGTATGTTAGAAGATAAGTAGATATCGTTAATATAAACGAGGAATAATAATGGACCAAGAATTGATCCTTGTGGAACCCCACAAGTAATGTCTTCAAGTCGTGTTACAGTGTTGTTATATGATAAAGCTTGTTTCCGATTATTAAGGTAAGAGCGAAACCATTTTAAATTGTTATTTCTTATTCCATAATTATATAGTTTATAAAGAAGAATTTTGTGGTCAACAGTGTCAAACGCTTTTGAGAGATCGAGGAATACTCCAAGAGTGTATTTATTGTTGTCAAACCCATTTAAAATTTCATTGACAAGTTTGGCTACAGCGTGTTCTGTTGAATGGTGTTTTTGAAAGCCATATTGGTTGTTATTTAGTAGGTGGTGGTTTACTAGATAATTGTTTAGCCTATTGTGCATTATGCGCTCTAATATTTTTGAAATGCATGGCAAAATAGAAATAGGCCTGTAGTTAGAAGCAATCGAATCGTCTCCGCTTTTAAATATAGGAACAACTTTTGCTAGCTTTAGCTGGTCAGGGAACACCCCATTTTTTAAAGACAGATTACAGATATGCAGAAGGGGATATTCAATAATATCGTAGACATTTTTTACAACGTTCACGCTAATGTCATCTAGTCCTGGACTTTTGTTTTCTTGTAAGGTATTAAATGCATTTTTAAGCTCATCCGGAGTTATTTCAAGCTCGTTCATGACTGAGGCTTTTTTTTCTAGATACAGCTTATAGCATTTTTTTCCACGAGTTATTTTATTAGCTAGTTTTTCCCCAATTTTTATAAAATAGTTATTAAATTTCTCTGCAATATCTATTGCCTTATTGGCTACTGTATCATTTTCATCTGTTTTTAAGTATTGCGGGAACACTTTGGTAGCATCTTTTTTTTTTCCTGTTACCTCTTTTATTACGCCCCATGTTTTTTTAGTGTTACCCCAATAATTTTCTAATAAATTGCAGTAATAGTTTTTTTTTGAGTGTTTTTTTAATTTTTCAAATAAATTTTTGTATTGTTTATATTTTTTTTCGTTTTTAAAAGTCTTTTTTTTTAAAAATTTTTCATAAAGTTTTTGTTTTTTTTTTGAAGATTTAATAAGCCCTTTTGTCATCCAAGGACTTTTAAGGTTTTTGAGTTTTGTTAATTGCTCAAGCTTGGGAAACGCTTTTTCGTACAAAGTTGTAAAAGTGTGTTTAAAAATATCGTAAGCTATGTTGGTGTCTTTGCAATTAACAACCTGATCCCAGTTTTCCATTGATAAGTTGCTTCGGAACTTTGTTATACTTTTTTCATTTATTTGCCTTTTTGTTGTAATTATTGTTTTGTTTTCTTTTTTTTTGTTGAGATTGTTAAGCAGAAGAAATATCGGAAAATGGTCACTTATGTCAGATTTTATTATTCCGCTTTGAATATTACATTTTATGGTAGTATTTGTAAATATGTTATCGATTAGGGTAGCTGTTCGGAGAGTTACTCGAGTTGGCTTATTTATTAAGGGTTCTACGCCGTGCTGTAAGAGATTATTTAAAAAGCATTTGACATTGTTATTAGTTTTTATTTTTAAAAGATCCAAGTTAGTATCTCCCATTATGTATAAGTGCTTATTTTTAGCCAGTTCTAGGTACTGAATTATATGTTTTTTAAAAGATTTTATATTGCCATCTGGTGGTCTATATAAGCCAGTAATATACGCATTTGCTTTACCTTGGTTTGTTAATTCAACCGTGAAAAGTTCACAGTTTGCGTTCAGTAAGCTTAGGCTTTCTACTTTTTTAAACTGTATTGTATTATGTATGTAGAAACATATTCCTCCGCCAGTACCTCTACTACGAGTTTGATGGAGAGCTTTATAGCCTTTTAATTGAAAATTTGAGTTTATGGTATTTTCGTCTTTGCACCATGTTTCTAAAAGGCATATTACCGTAAATTCGTGACTTATGTCTTTTAGCATTTCTTTAAAGTTTTCAAAGTTTTTGCTCATGCTGCGTATGTTTAATGTCAGCGCTGAAAAAGTATTTTGTGACGCATTTATAAAACAAGATAA